TCAAATTTCCTTTCTTTAATCTGATACTGCTGAATCTTTTACAATGAACATATTAAGATTAATGAGAAATGAATTTCACTACTTAAGAACATTGCTTTCCTTTTTTATATCACGCTTAAAGTGCAATTTAGAGGCGCTGCCCAAAAAGGTGACGCATGTACCTATGTCCACTATATTTAAAGGGAATGCGAGATCTCAAACCGTGCTCAATCGCCTTCTATAGCACCTTTGATCATCTCCCTAACCCATTCCATTGTTTAAGGGTGTTTAAGGGGTCTATAAAGGGTATACGAGTACTCAAACCATATCCATTCTCATTTACTTTGTGATAGCTTTCCATAGCACTCTGGTAAACTTTCAGAAATATTTTGACTTAAATTTCTCACTCATTTTGCTTTTTTTTGGAAGGCTTCCCTTTTGCTTGCATCCCTTGCCAGCTGGAGCAACACCTCTTGGTTTTGCTGAGGAATTGTTAGCTGACAAGATATTCTGCCCCACCCAACCTGCCTAGACCTAATGAAACAGTAGAAATTGACGTGTCCAAATAATCATCACACTCTGTGTCATAACCTTTACATTTGATTGTAATACTGGTAGATGCAGAAACACTTTGCAGTGGTTGTCTCTGAGGTTCTGGTTCCCTTGTTAAGCTATCATCATTGTTTATTTAGACATAGTTGAACTTGATTCCAGGATGGCTATTGATTTTAGGTTGCTCAGTGCTGTAGCTTTGTTCCCCACAAAACCAACTTGTACAATTGAAGAAAATTGTTACCAAGGACTGCTTTCTGAGAGTACAAAAGCTTTGACAGTATTTCCCAAACATCTTTGATTAATGGGATTCTACATCAACATACATTTGGATATTGATGCAGGTGCTACTCATATCATACATTTGTAAAGTTCTCTTGGGTGTGTCTAATGTTTCATTTTATTAAAACAATATTTATGCCTATGGAAGAACATGGGCAGGACATCTTGCAGTACTAACCCAGTTTTTAGAGTGGTTACATTCCCACAACTGAATTGCTTGTCCTACTAAGCATATATTTAGGTTTAATTGACCGTCTGTCTTTTTGATAGATGGTCAGAATATTAAACCTCAGTTTGATAACGTCAAATCTTTATTAAAACTGTCCCACCTATAACCAAAAAGACATTAAGGTCATTTTTAGGTATGATATCTTTCTACTGAATGTTCCTCCCCCAAGCTTGTTCTCTCATGAGTCCTATGTTGGATATGTTAAGTAAAGGGACTCTGGAACCATTAGTATGGACTTGTGATTTACAGCTTAGATTTAATGAATTAAAACCTGCATTATTCAGTGATCTGGTGTTAAAACTACCTGATGCTAAACACTTTTGTACTAAGAATGGATGCTTCTGACATAGGACTAGGAGTGGTGTTATTACTGTATATACCCAAGCAGGAAACGATTAGATTGAGAAAAAAGGTATTCAGCCATCGAATGTGAATGTTTAGCCATAATGTTCAGCATTCAAACACTCGATTATTACCTCATAGGTAAACATATTATGGAAGTTGACCATGAACCTTAGTTTACATGAAGAATTATGAAGGAACCAACAACATAGGGACTGGTTAGACACTCAATCTTACTCTTTCAGAACCATTCATATAGCCAGGCAGAAACACATCTACTTTAGTCCCATTTGATAAGTCACAACCACCAACCAACCAAGTTCTGTTATTGTTGTTGTTGCTGCTGTTGTTTATTTTGGGTGTCTGAAAGTGATGAGATTCCTCATGCAGGTGTTAATACCATTGTGATCTAACCCCCCTACCCCACCCCCTGGTGCTGCCAAGGCCATCATGAAAGTCATGGAGGTCATCCCACAGCAGGATATGGTCACGGTCAAACACGCCCTTCTCCGCCAATCTAAGAGCTGGCTTTTCGGTTCAAACTACCTTGGTATTATCGCCCCAGAGAAGGTAGGAGATTCATTTCATGTTCATTTATGGCTGTTGATGCTTTTTTGTGGTCTTTACATGAAGATGTTGGGCTTATCCAAAGAACTTATAGTTAAGTATTTTTGTCTGGTCAGTTTTTGGGTTGATAGGTAAAGGGTGAGAACTTTTTTTTTTCCATAATGCAGCTGCTGTAACAGTGTGGTGTTTCAAATTGTTCTTTGTTGAAAATTAGGAAAAATGCTTTTCTATTATGGATAATGAACTGTATTCCAAATTGTCTTGCATATTTAAATATATTCCTCTTTCAAATGATGTGAAATGATAGCTATTATCTAATGTAAGACTAACAGTCAATTTAATTAAATTTATACAGATTTTCCTCTCCAACTTTCAGAACAAGATCGGCATTATCCTGGCCTTATCTGCAATTAGGGATTAATTGGCACTATCTCCTAATCTGGAACCCTCACATCCAAGCCGTTCATCAGACTACCCAAGTTGGCCTCAAACAGACCTTTAGCATGGGCATTGGTGGATACCCCTTCACTAGCACTAACCTCATTGACT